ACCCCCACCCCCCCGAGGGGGCTAGAAAGCGGCCGGTCCTACCCAAAACGGGATGGAATAGCTATTTGTGGGGGTCGGACCTCCATCCCCCATTCCCCACATCTCCTCCCCCCACCCCTCCAAGGTCTTCCCACCCCCCAGCATCGCCGTTTTTTGGGGAGGGGGGGGCAACCTACCTGTGGCGTCGGGCACGGGCGTGCAAGGGGGCAGCCCCGGCGAACACATGGCATTCAACATTGTTCAGCTTGTGCATCGGAAACGTATGAGTTTGTGGAAAGCTTGCTTGAAGTCCTCGTTGGACATGGTATAGATGATGGGGTTGATGAGGGAGTTGAGATATCCGAGCCACGTGAAAAAGTCAAAGATGGCCATGTGGAACCAGCAAGCTTCCTTGCAAATCGGCAACACCAGGCTGATGATGAAAAAGGGCAGCCAACAGACGATGAAGGCTCCTAAAATAATCCCTAAAGTCTTGGTGGCTTTCCGCTCTCTAGCGGCCGTGAGCTTCTTCTTCTCCAGCAGGGCATCCGAGACCTTCACCTTCACCTGGTTCATGTACACGGGGGAGCCCGTCTCGCTGGATCCCTCGGGGGCCTTGGAGTTGATGGAGGTGACGGAGGAGGAAGACCCCGGGGAGTCCGTGATTAATTGAGCCCGCGTGAGTCTTTTACCCGCTTTCTTTGGCGTCTGCTTCAAAATCCTCGACCTGGCTTCCACGTAGATCCTCCCGTAGAGGGCTATCAGCAGCAGGGTGGGGAAGTAGAAGGCTCCCACCGTGGAGTACACGGTGTAGAGGACGTGGTCCGTGTTGACCACACAGTGAGAGACTTCCTCGGCTTTCGCCTGCCGCCAAAACAAAGGGGGCATGGAGATACAGATGGAGAAGACCCACACCAAGGCGATCATGCCCGCTGCCCGTTTGGGAGTCCGTTTGGTGGAGTACTCGACGGCGTCGGTGATGGCCCAGTAGCGGTCCAGGGCGATGACACAGAGGTGGAGGATGGAGGCCGTGCAACAAGTGATGTCCGAGGAGAGCCAGATGTCGCAGACGATCTGGCCCAGCGTCCACTTGCCGGTCACAGTGTACACGGTGCTGATGGGCATGACGAGGATGGAGACGAGGAGGTCGGTGACGGCCAACGAAGCGATGAGATAGTTGGCCGGCGTGTGGAGTTTCCTCGTCTGGTAAACCGTGGCGATGACAAAGGCGTTGGAGAGCACCGTGGCCAAGGTGACGAGCGCCAGGACGACGGCGAGCACGATCTTCCCGGAGAGGGGGGTGGCGTCCTGGTAGGTCCCTTCCTCGGCGCTGCAGTTTCGGCCGGGGTAGGACTCGTTGGCGGGGAGCAGCGGAGCCTGGCAGGGGGCTCCCGGCTCCATCCCTCCGCTCCCGCCGCCCCCGCAGACGGCGGGGCTGGGCACGGCGGGGCCGTTACCCCGGCAGGACCCCGCGGGTACCGGGGGAGGGCTGCAGCATCCCCGCTCCGGCACCACCTCCCACCCCTCCGCCCGCCCGCCCTTCCGGCAGCACCGAGAGGGCTCCAGCCGAGCTTCCCTCACTCCCCGCCGGCAGGGAGGGAGCAGGGCGAACCGGGGACCGGGCGTACCCGTTCCCCCCGCCAGCTCATCGCCCC